AGGCGGATATAATGGGCTCAGATGAGACCAGTGACTTATACGCCATCAAGTTTACTTTATTGTGAAAGCAGTGGGGTTTTCTTTCAAGTGAGTATATTGTTTAATGTGTTGCCACCTAGCATACAGGCTGAAGATGAGAACCGGGAAGGCAGACAAATCCCAAAGCGACTGAATTCAACCCAGGATAGAACACCCTAAAACCGCACAGAGCGTGTCCATGTCTTCCCTGAGAGCCGCAGTTTGTCCAGAAGAAAAGCTTGCGTTCTGATTGCGACTTCAATAAATCACCTACATTCAACTTTCTTAAAAAGTCTCTGCTACCTTTCGAAACCAATGTATGGCTTTTAGGCTAGAACGTCAGTCTTTCAATTACCCAAGCAACTGCCAGCATACCAGAGTAAGTTTAAATTAACCGCCGACTGGGCACGGAAGCCGATGGCTTCTTCATAGCGGGGGTTTGTCTAATAATAATAGCCACACTGGTGCTGTGGCTTGTTGTCACACGGAATCCTGGGTTTTACCATTTGGTTTGTTTGTTTTGTTCTATCCCCGGGGCTAAAATACCTCCACGATGAAATGGGTCACATACCCACCAAAAAGGCCAGGTTGAACATTTTATAAAGACGCTTATGAAGACAATCAGGTTGCCCAAATATGGCTACAGTAGTGCGTCTTAAATTCTCCAGGAATATAAATGGCCCCCAAAAGTGTTGTTCTCAGAACTGCACGCAGACCCACCACAAAATAGAACGGCCTGTAGGGCTCCAGTGCTTTAAAGATACTAACATCACCCAAAAAAGGGCAGGAACCACCCAGAATTTTAGCAGTGGTTCTTGCTCTTGCTTTGTAAGGTGAATGCGGGATGTAACGGAGACCTTCCAAAGTAAGCGATGTCCGTGGGCTCTAAGGTAATTGATACCAACTGTTCCCTTTCTGCTAGTCTGCCCCGGCTGGGCGAGTCTGCAGGGCCTGGGGCAGCGCGCAGGAAGGCCGGGCCTTCCCACCGATCTCCCTGCGGCTCCCAGGGCTGCCCGGGGCCCGGCCCCGCGCCCCGAACGCTTGGCTGAAGACTGCCGACCCGCCATCGTGGCAGAGACGGGGCTCCATCGTCACCCGACGGCGAAGCCACAGTGCCAGGCCCCGGCCTCCACCACGCCCTCCCTCCCGGCCTCGGCCTGGGCCCAGCTGCTGCCGCCTCACCCCGCGGAGCCGGATGAACCTGGCCCGCTCGGCAGCCCGGAGCGCCGCGCACCCTGCGCCCGCCGCCCGTCCCGTCCGCACCTCGAGGCGGCGGGACCCAGGGCGCAGCACCTCTCTCCCGGGGAGCGCCTGGCGGCTGCGCGCCCAACCCCGAAGGCAGGGTTCAAAGTCAGGTACAATGGCGCGCGTGGAGAGGGCCGGGTAGGTACCAACCAGGAGCAAGTGCAAGGGCGAGCCACACATTCGCTTGTTTTCTTCCTTCTTTCTCTTGTTGATGTGTTGATGTCAAGGGGATAGACCGTTCACGGTGGAGGATTCGCCAACTCTCTGCGCCCTTAGCCCCAGCCCTAGCCTCAGGCATCCTCCAGGGAGTGAAATAAAGCGTTTGGAATTGTAACCCGGGGCGCAAACTTTCAGTCCCCCAGCTCTCTGGGACCACCAGCAGCTGCAGCACCAGCACCACCAGCAGCAGCAGCAGCTGCAGCGGCGGCGGCGGCTTCGGGGACAGGGTCGCTGCGCTAGAGGCCCACGACTTCTGGAGCCGAGGAGAACGGACGGGGCTAAAGGGCCAGGGAAGCACACTGCGGCCGGCCGAGAGGAGCGAGTAGTGGCACATTTACCCCACGCCGACTCGGTGCACACCGCCATGGTAGCAGAGCGGCCAGGGAAATGACCTCCGCATTGTTTTTCATACTTCCTAATATCAGCTAGAGAGCGTCTTTCAGTACAAGGCACTCCATCCCGGTGAAATCTAGGCACGGTTTCCAAGAGCTTCGTGGAAGCCCAAGAGACTGCCTCTTATTCTCAGGCGACTGTGCCCCAGGGCGCCAGGCCCGGCCGGCCTTAGGCCCCGGGCAGCAAGCGAGACCGCCGGCCCTCGGCCCCGCGCCCCAAGGTCGCTCCCCTCGGAGCCCTGCAGCCCCTGGGCCTGCGCCCGCGCCCTGCCGACCGCACGGGCTCCCGGGGAGCGCAGACCCGACCACGCGGCTCGGCTCCACTGGCTACGCGGGCACCGTGTCGTGTACTTTCCAGCGTCTTGTTTAGTTCGTAGGTGGAGGGAGGAAGAAAGAAAAACAAAGGAAAATCAGTCAGCGGTGCTCTAATGTGGCAGACCAAACTCCACGGAACGCCGTCTAGTGGCGGCATGGTCCAGGGAAGGCAAGGCGGGTTTCCCTCCCTCTTCATTGGCCTCCCGCTTGGAATTTTGAAGTCTTTTTACATCTATCAAACTGCAAAGGGGACAGAGGACAATATCTAGGTGGTGGCAAATTTAGTCCCATAACCCGAAGTTGACCTGGATTCAACAAGGGTCTTGAACTTTTTCCCACCTCCTTCCTGGATTATCTGGCTCTGGAAGCACAAATGAAAACTCCCTCCTCTGTGAGATAAAGGTAGAACTCTGCAGA